GACAACATTGCATGACCCGGTGATCACAAGTGGCCCATTTCTATCAGACATGATATCGAACAAAACTATTATGCATTGACAGTAGGACATACATATAGATAAATCTATAGAAATACAACGCCTATGGAGGTAACTCTCCAACGACACCATCCGCTCCAATCACAATGTCGATCTGCCTATTCGTCGTCTCCTTCTCATACGCATCTATCTCAGCCTCATCCTGGATACATATTCCTTCAGAATCTAGATTCGTTATTCTACCCGTCTCAAACTCCCCAAGCTCCAAACTCCAGTGTCCTCCCGACCTGATCCTCAATGTAACCTTGAGCCTCGCCTCACCTCTTGGTTTAGGAGCTAAATCTTCGATTTTAAGTTCTTGACATGGAATGGTACCGCGTAAGACTTTGACCGTAGCGGTGGTCTGGTTTTCCTGCGAGTTTGTAAAGAGGAATTTGCAGTCAACCGGGGGGTAAGCATTCGCCGGTATGATGGTAATGGTCTTGCCGTTCGCGAGGGTGATACCTATGGGAAGAGGTGCCTTTGGCAATACCAATTTTCTGTATTCCAAAAATACCATCATTACAACTGCCGCGCCGTAGGCTATGTCGATCAGCTGTATCCACTTAACCGGGGTGCCGTTAAAGGTGGACTCGAGTTCAGAGGCCGATAGATTAGGAAGCGCGCCTTCTGGACGAAGGAAGCCTACTAGTTCGAGTTTTCTGTCGCTTGGGGGTAGGACATGCCGCACCAACTTATCGAAAACGTCTTGGGAAGTCCAATCGTCTACATCCTGCTGTTGTTCCTCACTTAGAATGACCGATTTGCCGGCCTCCACATTGTACATCCACCCAATAAATGCATTACCCCATGCCTGCTTCGCCGCAATCTGCCCTGGCGTCAAATCCACAAGCAAAACGCCAACATCCCCTTTTTTCATGCTAATATATGTACACCCGTTCGCCCATGCACACAGATGATCATGCGAGCATGGAAATCCCTTTGAAAGCAACTCTTGTTGGTGCTGGTTCGCAGCTACGGGGTAAGCGATAGTGTACGCGTTTTGGTTGTAGGTCAGATCGAAATCGATAACACGCTCGAAGCTGTCTGTCATATCTTTGAGCGTGTAAGCTTCGGGGAGTGTGTGGATGGTGGGGGAGGAGAAGACTGCTGAGCCAAAGGGACCGTCGCCGTCTACTCTCGTGATGGCAAATTGGGCGTCATAGGTGAGA